AGACGGTCAGGGCGTTTGGCCCAGGCCTCTAGACGAAGACCCCGGGGAGCCCAATTTCCAAAGGGGGCTCGCGAAGTTCCCACGCGGGTGCACCAGATGAAAGCACCTTCCTCTCTCTGAAGAGGAGTTTTGGGTTTTATTTTTAATGCCTGAAGATAGGCATCTAGGGTTCCCCCAGGCCAACAGTGACCTAATCCTTTTGCGGACTCCCAGACACGTGTTGAAGTCGATGGGGTCTGTGAGAAGAGAAAGTCTCCAGGCTCTGACGCCCAGCAAGCACTGCAGCAGGGGCCCTGCATGTTCCTAGAGCGAGGTTCTTTGCACAGGAAATCCGCCGGGTCAGGGCCCTCAACTGAAAGCTTCTGCCTCCCAGTTCCTAACAGGTGGTGCCCTGTGGGGTCCCCTCACTCTCCCAAGAAGCGCCCACCATCGGTCTTGTCCAGGGCCCTGTTCTTTGATCCTGACCTCAGCCACCCCACCCCAGGCTATCCCAGCACACGTGTTCACCTCCTTTCCCCGGTGACACAGCGCCCCCAACTCCTTCCTGCCCAGTTCCTGGGTACAAGGGGAACAATGTTAACCCTAGCATCCAACCCGCATGGAAAGGCCGCATGGAAGACTTCTGAAGAGCCCTAGAAAAAGAGTCCAAAGAGCCAGAGTTCCAGGAAGGCTAGTTGGCCCCACCTGTAGCTCAGCATTCTGGAAGGAAGCCGAGGCAGGAGGATCCTGAGATTCAGGCCCGCCTGAATCTACAGGTAGTGTTCAAGGTCAACCTGGGCTACACAGTGAGACCCTGTATGGAAAAACAAACAAAACAGCTTGAGTGCTAACCTTCCTCTGACACTTAGCGACGGGTCTCAGTAACCCCAGCGGCCCTGCCCAGGACCCATGCACGCGGTGGTGGTGGTCTGGGGTCACCCAGGCCCGGGTCACGTGGTCGGATACCTCAGCACGAGCCTGGGGTGCTAATCCAGGTAAGAGGACTCAACAACCCACGCCCCCGTGTCGCGCGTCGGGGTCTTGGGACAGCGCCACAGCCCCGGCTGCGCCCACGCACAAGTTGCGGCCCAAGACCAGCCAGCGTCGCAGCCCAGCCCACCCCCGCACCCGCACTCACGGCCGCGAGCGCGCGCGGCTCCGGCTCCGCGGGGCGCATCGTCTCGGCCGCCGCCTCCCGCTCCTCGCCTCCCGCAGAGCGGCCGCCGGCTATTTTAACGCTTGCGGAAGGAAGCACGGAAACAGGTCACATGGAGCCCAGTGGCGACTCAGCAGGGGATGCGGCGCGCGCCGGGTCACCCGGAGGTGGCGCCCGCTGCCGCTGGGTTGGGGGTGGCAGCTTGAGCCTTCCTGTGACCCCAGGCTCCTGGCTGGCCGCACGCTGGACGAACGTGGGAGCGGGGAGACCCCGCTACTGTGCCGGGCCTGCGCTCGTGGTCCGTCTGTGCCCTCAGGCGGTTGTCATTACTGGTCTCTTACGGGTCAGCAATGGAAGAGGGGCACAGGAAGGAGGGAAAGTGTGAAGGGAAAAAGAAAGGAAGCAAAAAGGTGGGAGAGAGGAAGAGCGGGAAGGAGAAGGAAGAAAAAAGAAAAGTAAAACCCAGCAGCACTCAGTGGCTGGCTGTCGCAGCCAGGGCTCCAGCTACCCCAGGTGTCCCGAGGCCCTACCAGCGTGATCAGCAATACAGCCCTCGCGAGGGTCCTCAGAGCAGCTTTCAAGAAGCGTCTTCCCCTGGCTGGAGAAGGACAGATAGCCAGGAGCCTGAAGAGACAGCCCTCTCTGCCTCTCCCAGAGGTCAGGGATGTCCCAGGGTTAGGTCACTTTTATTTTTGAGACAAGAGGTCAGTCTCATTCAAACCCAGACTGACCTCAAACTCAGTGATCCTCCTGCCTCAGCCTCCCAAATTCTGGGATTACAGGCGTGCACTGCCATACCTGGCTGGGTCACCCTCTTGTAGCCAGGTGGTTTGTGCCTCTGTGGCATCTGTCCTGAGAGAACAGGAATGTGTCCTTCTTGCCCAGCTGGAACAAAGCCTCTGTTCCCTGGAACAGGCTCCTGTCCAGGTGGCCCTGATGGCCCCAACAAACAAACCATGCAAAAAGAATTTGTCACAGTCGTCCGTTCTGACTGGCCTGTTTCCTTTTGCGGAGATATGACCTCTGCTTCTCTTCTGTGTCTTTAGTGTCCAGTAATATGCTGATGACTCCCAGATTTTAAAATATATTTGGTGGGGCTGAGGAGATAGCTCAGTGGAATAAGCATTTGCCTGGCAAGCGAAAGGACCTGAGTTCAATCCCTGGTTCCACAAAAAAAAAAAAAAAAGTATTTGGCACAGGGTCTCACTATGCAGCTCAGACTCATAGTGATCCTCCTGTTTTCAGCCTCCCTAGCACTGGGATTACAGGTATGAGCCACCATGCCTGGTGTCAGTGACCCTCTCAGCATGCCCAGGGGCAGGGCCAGCAAGGCATGTGGTGCTGGGGATGCAACCCCGGTCCCTGCGCTTGCCTAAGCTCTCTCGCCGGCCCTGACTCCCAGATTTGAATCTCTAGCTCTGGAATTCCATCCCCTGGGAGAATATTCAGATGTTTGCTTATCATCTGTCTGCTGGTCACTCAACTTCTAGATATCCCAGAGTCACCTCAACACAGTAAATCCCAAGTGAGCTCAACTCCTCACATTCACCAGTTGGTCACCAGTTCCTGCTGATTCCAACTCACAAATGTCTCTCGTGTGCTTTTTTTTTTTTTTTTTTTTTTTTTTTTTTTTTTTTTTTTTTTAAGACAGGGTCTTGATACATGACCCAGGCTGGCCTCTAATTTGCAGAGTTCCTCCTGCTTCAGCCTCCTAAGTAAAGGCTCACAGGCATGCACCACCACACCCAGCCAGAGATGTTTCTTGAGTCCAACACTACTCGCTATGCTTGGGTTTATGCCTCCCAACTTGTGTCTAGACCATTTCAGTAGTTTCCTTAAACTGGTTCCCTGCCCCTTTTGTCCCTCTCGAATGTTGACCCCCATCCAGAACCCACTGCCATCAGTCTAAAGGGTGTCACCTCACTCCCTTCTTAGAATCCCTTCGTGCTTTGCCTCTGTACCCCTTACCTGGCTGTTTTTAAACTCTGATTCTGGGGGCCTGGGGAGATGGCTCAGTAGAATAAGCACTTGTCTGGCAAGCGCAAGGGCTTGAGTTCAATCCCTGGTTCTGCCAAAAAAAGAAAGAAAGAAAGAAACTCTGATTCTGCAGGTTTAGGAGTTCCTTGTGGGTACCTGAGTTCTCTCCCCGCTTCGTCCTTTGTTATAGCTTTTATATGAGTTCTCTATAAGATTTCTTTCAAGAAAGGCGGGGGCTGGGGAGATAGCTCAGTTGAATAAGTGTTTGTCCGGCAAGCACAATGGCCTGAGTTCAATCCCTGGCTCCGCAAAAAAAAAAAAAGAACAAGAAAGGCGGCTATAGTTACCATCAGAAAACTTTCAAAACCTGTGGTCTACCCAGACATGGTGGTTCATGGCTTTTATTCTAGAACTCTGGGAGGTTGAGGAAGGAGAATCAAATTCAAGCTCATCCCAGGCGCATTCCCAGCAGTGAGACCCTGTCTCGAAAATTTAAAAATACATAAAAAGGGGTGGAGATGTAGCTCAGTGTGAAGGCCCTGGGTTCAATCCTCAATACTGTGGGAAAATAAAAAGCAAAGGGTCTTAGTGGTTGGTTATGTAGTCAGCCAGCTAGTGCCCATCGCTCTGTACCCCAAGCTTGCTCTGTGGATGGGACCCTAAGCCTTGGAGCCAAAAACAACCTTCCTCCGATGCTCCAGGAGTTCCCATCCCCCCTCTTGGCTGTGTGGCCAATGCAGGGATCAGAGCACTGCTGTTCAACACAAGCTGGGTGTCCTGCCTGGCTGGTGCATCTCCCTCTAGGTCCCCCACCCCACCCCCCACATACCCCAGCTTCTGAGCTGCAGGGCAGAGCGCTCCACCCTATGTCACCCCCCACCCTATGCAACCCTCCCCCCCCTCGCTTCTTTTGTCTACCCAGCCCCTCCCCCTCCCAGAATCCAGTCCCTCCTCCTCTGAACACATGGGGCTTCATTTCATCTGCAACATCCACTGCCTTTTTTTTTTTTTTAATACCAAGGATCAAACTCCAGACCTTGTCCTTGCAAGGCAGACACTTATGCCACTTAGCTATCTCCCTGGCCCTATCCCCTGCCTCAAGGTGACATTTGTGTCAAGGCTTTTTTGGTCTTTTTGAGATAGGGTCTCTCTATGCTGCCCAAGCTAGTCTTAAACTTGCAATGATCCTCCTGTCTCAAAATTTTTGAATTTCTGTCTTGTTTCCCCGACTATGCTCTCTACTTCTGAGGAAAGGGATCATGTACTGTTTCCAAAAATCAGACTGTCCGATGTGCGTAAGAGGCCCAATGAATAAGAGGAAAGAGGGGAAGAAAGGCGCTAGACCCACCCTAGCCATGACTCTCTGGGACCTGCCTGTTGAGGCTTTTTTCTTTCTTAAACTAAATTTTTTGTCTTTTTTTTTTTTTGAGACAGATATCAGGCTAGTCTTGAACTCTACTTTGTAGTCCAGGCTGGCCCCAAACTCTTGGCCAGCCTCCCACGCCAGTCCCTCAAGTGCCGGGATCACAAGTGTGCGCCACAGCATCCTGATATTTGGTTGCTTGTTGGGCCCCTCAGGCTCCAAAGGGAACTCTGAGGCCAAGGTCATGCCCTTCTAACTCCTGCTCCAGAGTTGCCCACCCAGCCCAGGGTACTCAGCCTGGCACAGACAGGGCAGTCATTCCTTCTGGGCCTGCACTTTGGTGACTGGGTTGGCTGAGCTGTGAGCTAGTGCCACCTCTGCTTCTCCCAGCCCCAGCACATGACAGGGAGGGGATTTCCTTTGGGGCCCTCGCTGGGACTCCATCATGCTCTTGCCCCACATGAGGGGGGAGGCTTCGGTAGTTTCATTTCCCTCATTTGGAATGGAGTTTCAAGAACCAAAAATCAAAACCGGAAAGAATAGAGGCCACCGCCCACATGGGCAACACTCAACACCTCACAGTGCCAATCTTGGGAAAGCTTAGGTGTCAGTGCCAAGACCCCTGAGCTCTGGGCAACATGAGGGGAGGGCTTGGCAGATGGGCCTTCCCAGCAGGCTCATGCCTGTCCTCCAGCTATCTGGCGGTAGGGGTGCTCTGGCTCTGTCACTCATGGCCTCCTCAGCCTCTAACACCAGCAGCTGACCCCTGTGGGGACACTGCCTCTTCCTCTTCTGGAAACACTGACTGTATCATGATGGTCAAAGATGACAAGATACCAAGAGATGTTGGTGCCAAGACCCAGCTGGTGGCAGGGTGATAAGGGAAGAGGCCCATATACCCAACCACAGCTGGGGACAGGGAGGAGAGGTTGGGAGTCATGGACACCAGGAACAAGGTGCAGGAGCTGGGTGGATAGAGGAGCACACACTGGCTGGAGATGTCAGGCAGAATGTTCTGGAAGGCCTGATCTGTGCTCTCAGGGATGTGCCTGAGTGGATCAGAAACTGAAGGAGAGATGGGGAAAGTGAGTGATCAGGACACAGCCATATCCAGGAAACTTCAGGAGAGATGATGGTTCCTTGTGTTCCGCCAGGACTTTGTTCACGGCTCTTGGGGGCGGTGTGTGTGTGTGTGGGGGGGGTCACCACCATCTGTTACGGTTCTGCCTTGCTTCCAAGACACTGGCTGCTGGCAGCCTTGGAAAATGGTTTGTCACATTTGTGTGCTTTCCCAAGCAGTCCTTAGTCTACCACCTAATAGAAGTGAGAAAAGATTCCTTTCTTTCTTCCTTCCTTCCTTTCTTTCTTTCTTTCTTTCTTTCTTTCTTTCTTTCTTTCTTTCTTTCTTTCTTTCTTTTTATAGGGTCCTGCTGTATAGTTCAGGCTGGCCTTGAACTCGTCATGATCCTCTTGCTTCAGCCTCCCAAGTGCTGGGATTACAGGCCTGATCTCACACGCTCTCCAAGATTTTTTAACTGAACAAAGGCTAGTGTCACTTGCTGTGAAGCAGCTGGAGAGCTTAAGGATTTGGGAAGTCAAGTTTTGGTAACTGAGAAGTCCCTTTTTGTGACTCACAGATGTGAACCAGAGCCCTTACCATGGGCTCAAGGCCTTAAGACCACATCCCTCCCATGCCCCTCTCATTTCACACCCACCACGT